GTTTTCTTTTTCTAAATGTGGAAAGTGAGACACATTATTCTGCAAAAGATGCTGTTTCCACAATTTTAATTTGTGCTCAAAGCCCTGAATTTTATCATACAAATTGTGAATAAACTGTTCTTTGCCTTGAAGTTCCACATTAAGATCATTGAGATGATGAGTCATGTCGATAAGAAACTCAAAATCGTACATCCATTCTTTATTACCAAAATGAGGAAAGGCATATCCCTTCATATCCAAGAACAATTGTATTTCACTTTTTAAGTTGTATACTCTTTTCAGCATTGCACCTCTACTAAGCCAACGTACTTTGGTATTAAAAACCACGTCGCCATATTCAGTTTCTAAATCTTTCAGGAATTCTTTAAATTCACGGTGATTTAATGCGTGCGACTTTATAAAATTGATTAGTTTAATTATTGGTACTGTGACATTTGGCAAACTCAATCTTTTCGCACACAAATTTTCCTGGTGAATTACGCAGTGATTAAAGAATATTTCCCTTCCTGTGACCTTCTTAATGTCTCGAAATAGCCTTCCCGATACTCCTACCTCCATGATTGACATTGTTCGTGCTCCATCTGTCGATATACCAATAATCTTTTCTAATGAAATTGAAAAATTTTCCAACACAGACTTTAGTTCATCATACAGGTCTTTGCCGGTTGTAGTCCCTTGCATTGGAATCAGTGAACACAATTCTTCGGTAATATTAAATNTTTTTTTTATACTTTTATAGAATTCTTTTATTTTTACAAAATTAAAATTTCACTTAATTCTATTTTGATTAAGTATCATCTGTCTTCAGATAAATTTTAATAACCATAAATACCATCTCAGAATTTTAAAGTCATCATATGACTTCATGCTAACAAAATCTCATTAAATTTCAATTATCATTTTTTTATATTTAATTACATCATAAATATAGTCAAAAATGATAATTAATCTACAATTTGAGAAATCTAATTTCCTTATTCATTTTACAGCATGTTTTCAAAATAATGGAACATATTTTGAAAATGATTCCTCATAAGAAAATAAAGAAAAAATAGAGCTTGTAAACAAATGTTCAGAAATAGATAATTTCCAGACATATAACATATATAACAAATGTTACAGTGTGATGTGATGCTACAATGCAAGTGAGGTTATAGTGTTTGCTTATATTAAGCATGGCAAGTTACTCATTTTGAGAAAGTGTGGATAAGATTTTCATGTATGGGCATGTGAATGGTAATGCCTGAGAAACTTAATATCTGTATGCAAAGGCTTTCCAAACTGGCAGCAATCAAATCACAAAACCTTTACACAAGCATATTGTCACCTGGCAGAGACCAGAATAGTTGTGGCAAATCATGAAAGATAGCAATGTGTCTGCACACTGAAAGTGAAAGAAGCTACCATACAGTACACAAACAGCACATAAACAAAATATTTGTTTTCTGTAGTAATGTCTTGACTGGTCTGGCATAGCAGTAAGCACTGAAATATATGCTGTGTAGGAAACACTCCAGCAACAACACAATAATGACAACAAACACACATTAGTTTAATAATGACAATCAAATATAAAATATGACAAAGTCTAGCAATTTACTTATATTCAATAATAAAAGAATTTACCTTAAAACAAAATTGTATACAGTACAGTAAGCCTGAAATTATAAATAAATCAAATCTGGCATTTTCATGTAACAAAATTTTTACTTAGTATTGAGAAAAACTATTATAGTGCCTTAATATTTAAAATAAATTGTTTTCAGCCTTTCAAATACTTTCCTCCATTGTTCAAATCAAAATCAATTAAATTTTAAAATATATTACCATATTCAGAATTTAAAGGTTTTCCACTGATTTTCACAGAGGCTTGTACAAACTGAATTCTTCCAATATTATTTGTTAATGATAAATTCTTCTGTTTAGAGTCTTCAGAGATTATTTCATTGGAATCATGATTTTCCATTTCCTTTCCTAATTTTGAGAATTTTTCATCTACTGGATAATCATCTTCTTTAGTTCCTAAAGTTATACATAATTATATTCACATATGTATGTACTGTACATAACATTCCTATACATATATGATTGAACTTATTATAAAACTAGTCAACTATAATAAAGTACTTTAACTATTTTCACAAAAATTTTAAAAATTAACCTCATTGTTATTACCTGACACACTTGCAATACAGAGAAGGTATGATGAACATACATGAAAAGAACTCAGAATTTCTGCAGGATTATTTGCATCTATAATAGTAACTTTACTATTGGAATGAGTACTTGTACAAATCCAAACTAGTGAACGTAATAATTCAGGATTTTCTTTCTTCTTACTTTCTTCAATCTAAAAATACATCATACATGAATATAATAAACAAATTCCAAAATTCTATAATAGAAATAATTTAAAATATTTTTATTAATAAAAATAGGCCTCTTGAAATTTGCATTCATTTATTTATTTGTATACTAATATATTAAATTTTATATAAATGTTACTTTAATTAATGTAAAATAAATTTCTACACTTGAACTTAAAAAGTTAAGCAAATAAATGAAAATGATCTCATTTGTAGTTTCAATTTTGTTAGCAAAATGATGGAAAGTAATATTGTATGTAAACAAAACAAAAACATAACATAACATAACACAATCAAACTATGCATATAATTTTACACATATATGTGTAAAATTATATGCAGATTTTAAAAGGAAATTTTTAATGAAAGGAAACCTTCCTTTTTTTTTTTCGTTGTTCGAAATTGTTGTAAACACCCCCCTTAGAAAAACTCCTCACGGAGTATCGGAGCAGAAGTCTCCTCCAACTATCAACAGTTAGGTGGGAAAGTTGACACTTAGTTGTCAAGAGTTGCAAGTCATTGTCAACAACGGACCGCTTTCCCACCCTAATGCTATAAAAGCATGAGCTACCGGAAGCTCAAGGTGCGTCCGCACATGAAAGTTATTTCTGTACTTGTGCCAGTCGATCTCCATGCAAAAGACTTGGATCCCGTTGGAGAAGACGTTCAACAGCCGCAGACTCTTCCATACCATCGGTATCCACCATACTTTGGTATATACCTTCCATTCTCACATAGAGGTATTGTTTGTTAGCACTCTGCAAACTCCTTCCCTCCCCAGAAACAGGATTAGACGTTAGACATAGCTAACAGCTGCCCTTTGTATAACTTGCATTTAACCACATTTAATCGAGTAGTCTTGTAACGATCTTGTATGTTAACCTTAGCTAACCAATAAATGTTTTATTTATTAACCTGTCAACCTGTCAATCTCTTCATCTGAAAAAACTCCTGTCCAAGTACCAATGCACTCCCCACTCACCTTTTGCCTTCCTAAACCATCCAACAAACGCAGAGATCAGGCTTTACCAGCTCGTGCAAATTAAGTAGTCAGAAGGGATTAACCCCTGGCCCTCTGCTTGTCTCACATATATAATTAGAATAGTCATCAGAATTCACTTTACAGTAATGAAAAGAACAAGAGTTTATAATTTAATAGCATTATATTATCAAGTCATATATCTTAATTGTCAATGAAAATGACTAATCGCTTATCAAAAAATGGTTTTGAAAAATTCATTTTTTGTTGGACAGACTATAAATACAAGTTGACAAAATAATTATGGGTACAAATTTATTAGTTGTATGTATTTAGTGAAACTGTTTGACTTGGTGTGAGATAATTTTTTTTTATTTTGGTAACCGTAAAGAGGATGGAATTCATCATTTTTTTATTCTGTTAAACTTTCTTCTTTGGCAAAATTGTCAGACAGTACAATTAATTATTGAACCTTTTAAATGTAGTGTGTGTCAGTATGATATTGTATGAATACTCAATGTTTCTTGCTAGACAGTTTTAAATATTGAAATGGTTTAACTTTCTTCTTCTACAAAAAGTAGAAGAAAGCAAACTATCAGAACCCACAGGTTCCATGATATTATGCAAATGTCATGGAACCAAAAAAAAAATTCTACCAAAAATCAAGAATTTCTATGAGAAAAATTGCAAAAGAAATGGTTATTAATTGAGAAACTTCACACCTGATAGCTAAAAAGAACCGACACTTCAACTGACTTTGTATGGTACAAGCTGGAAAGAGAGCAACATCTCACAGAAGAGAAGTTACATGTACAGCTGGAAAGATTCTAGCTGATCAAACTGGCAAATATCCTTTTCATTGATGAGAGAATTTTTACAATTGAGCTGACCCGGTGTAAGGAGTCAAAGACTCATTGTTATTTTATGTTTTGGGCGTTATTTTTTGGTTATGTTTATTTTCTTTTCGAGGTCTTTTTTTTAGGACAGAAACTTCTAAGAAACCCCAAAATGTGCTAAATTCAAAAATAAAAATCTAAATACAGTAGAACCCCTCTAATCTGTGACCTTTGAGACTGGGGGTATGGTCAGAATGCAAAAAAGGTCGGATTATCAGAAAAAAGTAAAATAAACAATCTTCCCCTTTGTCCAGTCTTTGTAGCACCGCTAATTTTTCATTTAATGAAAGAGTAACGTGTTTACGTTTCACTCCTGACATGTTGAAAACACACACAAACTGTACACGTACACACAATGTAAAACATATACTGTAACGAACACAGAAAAATGCCACAGACGGTGAGTCACCGATGAGTCGGAACAAGTTTCTCGACTATGACCACGGTCGGATTAACCGGAGCGACGGACTAGCTGAGGGCGGACTAGGGGGGTTCTACTGTATACTAATTTACAACAGTGACTGATCCTGTGAGACATGGACATGTAAATAAGGTAATGCAGAGTTACACTGATAGAGACAAAAGATGACATGCCCATTCAACAGTATGGTGTAGCTCCTGACACTGACCTTCATCAAAGTGAATTGTCTGGCATTCTTTGATAAGCACGATCAGTTTGCAAGAAATGAATTCTCTGTGTAATTATTTTGGTGGAGATTTGATTGATTATACAAAAAAGAATTTATTTCATTGATTGATTGTTCTTGACTTCTTTTTTTTTTTTTTTTG